AGTATAACCTACTCTTCTTCACTTGTCTTCTTTCTCCTCTTTCTGTTTTCTTTTTTGTGAAAAAGTAAAATGTATTTTCATTTGGGATAGCTAGATGATAAAATTAACTAATGCACAACAGAACTTTATTTGACATGCATATTTTTAAAATAGATTTTGTTTAGTGCTTCTGTTTTGAAATGGAACCCACTCTTTTTAATCTATTTGCCACCATCTGTGTAAAAAGATGTCCTCCTCCTATTGTTTTGAATTATCTTTTTTAAAAGGGCGAGGCACACTGTTTAGAACTTGGTTCATGCACCAATCACAATACAGTGCCACCATCCCAACTGAGCTACTTGCAACTACAGTTACTGTACTAACGACGGCTCATTACAAGGAAATTTCTATTGTAAACACTCAGATGTGAGCTGGTGGAGATAAGAAATGTAGCTTTGGCCGCTTCCAACAAATTCTCTATACAGGAAAACCCCTGCTGACGTGCATGAGATAAAATGAAGCAGCAATGATGTCAGTAACATCAGAATGGTAATAAGAACTTTCTAGAGATAGTGACTTAAGAATTGTTTCCTTACAACAACTGTGGTGCATTGTGTAAGCAAGACCAGATAAGGCTTTACAGCTTTGCTTGATTATTAGAAATTAGCTAATGGCTAATCAACAAAAAGAGCTACCAGTATTTGTTAATAAGGACTTCTTTTCCTCTATACTCACCTTTCTAGAACAAAGTCTATGATTATACCAATAAAATAAGTGATGGCTTTTTTTTATTGTTTAACCTGTTGAACATAAAGAAATTATTATAATTTTAATTTAGTCTTCACTGGAGAAGCTTGCCAAATAAGACAAAAAAACCAAATGTGTTAACAAACAAAATTAAATTGCATTTTAAATTCAAGTTTTGTATCTGTTGAATTAAAATATCCAAGTTTATCAAGTGTAAGAAAACTGAAGGCTGTCTGCTTACTGCATCGAAGGCTCAATGTAGAAACCCTGCTGCAATATTGGTCAATTGACCATTTTGAATTACATTATTGGAATTTCATCCATCCATCCATTTTCATCTCCTTGTTTCCATCCATTTTTATTGTGGGGGCAGCAGTCTCCATGACCGCTACCCAAATCACACTGCACTGTACCAGCCCCCCTGAACCTTCCTGCAGGTGGTGAGTCCACTGGAAGGTACCAACCGCCCTAACCAGGAGGTGAACCCTGGGGTTCCACACCAATGACAGAGACATTATTGGACTTATTGGACTGAAATTTAACTATTGATAGTAGTGGAATATGATTAAAATATTTTATAGCATTAATTTGATGCTTTATAATTAATCTAAATTATTCCTAAATTATTCCAATATTATTTTGACAATAAGAAACATTTTTCAAATTCATTTTTTCAAATTTTCATTTATTCTCATGCTGTTGCTTATTGTTGGAGTTGCTCATATTAATTTATACCTGTACAGATTAAATGGTTCCAAGTACACATACTTGGAAATGTATTCATGTATAATAGTATATTCATCCATCCATCCATCCATCTTCAACCGCTTATCCGGGGCCGGGTCGCGGGGGCAACAGTCTGAGCAGGGACACCCAGACTTCCCTCTCCCTCGACACTTCCTCTAGCTCTTCTGGGGGGACCCCAAGGCGTTCCCAGGCCAGCCGAGCGACGTAGTCGCTCCAGCGTGTCCTAGGTCTTCCCCTGGGTCTCTTCCCAGAGGGACGGCACCCGAGCACCTCCCGAGGGAGGCGTCCGGGGGGCATGCGATGTAAATGCCCAAGCCACCTCAGCTGACTCCTCTCGATGTGGAGGAGCAGCGGCTCTACTTCGAGCTCCTCCCGCGTGACAGAGCTCCTCACCCTATCTCTAAGGGA